ATCAATGCTGCAGTAATATCCTCAATCTTGATTGTTTCCTTGCCATATGTCAGTGTAGTAACCACATGCTCATAGGATGGTGGTAAAGAGCACAAAAGAATTATTGCCTTATCTTCATCATCAACAGTTACCTCTCTATGTACCAGATCAACAACCAACTGATTGAAGACATTCAAGTGCTCCACGAGATCCGACCCCTCCTGCATCTTCAGCCTATACAACTTCTGCTTCAGATACAACTTGGTGGTCAGTGTCTTGGACATGTACTAAGTGGCCAGCTTGTCCCAGATTTCCTTTGGTATGGTTAAATTCATGACATGGAACATGACCTGATCTGAGACACAGAGCCGTATGATTATGACTGCTTGCAACTGCGTCTCCTCTCAGTCTTCAACCTCCATCTTGCCTGGCTTCTTCTCCTACAAACCCTTTAGGACCCTTTGCTGAGCCAGCAAATCCTTGACCCTTGTTTGCCACATAGTAAAGTTGCCGCTGCCATCGAACTTCTCCGCCTCAAATCTGGTATCTGTCGGTGCCATCTTGCCGACCAACAGTTTGATCGATCTCTTGACGATCTCACCATCTGATTCGTCTGCCTTGACAACAGGCTCAGATGAACCGTCCTTCTCCGAGATCCCCTTCCCGGCGTCTGCTCCAACGACGTCTCCTCGTCAGTCGCCAGACTGCTCGCTAGTGATCACCTCCGAGCACGCCTGGCCACCTCCAAGCTGAGCCTACTAGCTCACACCTACACCGCCACCCGAGCAAACCACCTACTCCAGCTCTCACTGCCAAATATCTTTGGCTAGTCTGGCTCTTTGGTTTTTGCTCTGTCTTACGATGCACTGAACCAGCTCTCTCCGCTAGTGGATTTATTTCACCGCGTGCCCACGAGTTATGTTCTGGCGTCCAATGCAAGGTTTCTCCTCTGCACACCATTGCGAAACAATAGCCAATTTTATGGACTCGGCTCCCAACAAACTACTAGGGCCTTGTTTAGATTGCAAATTTTTGCAATCTAGACACTATAGCATGTTTCGTTTGTATTTGATAAACTTTGTCCGATCATGGGCTAACTAGGCTCAAAAGATTCGTCTCGTGATTTACAACCAAACTGTGCAATTAGTTACTTTTTTTACCTACATTTAATGCTTCATGCATGCGTCCAAAAATTGATGTGATAGAGAGAGTGAAAAAACTTGGAACTTCGAGGCAATCTAAACAAGGCCTAGAGTACTCCGCTGCTACCCGTCCTGGACACCTTGACTTCCAAGACCTGTTGCAGCTTTGTAGCTCCTAGCCTTGCCAGATGTGCCTGCACTCCCCAGCTCATTGTGTGTGAATGAAAAAACAGGCCAACATATGCACGCTCCCTGACACGTACTATTGACGAATTTGGCCTGGTGGCTGCATGCACATGCATAATTTTTCTCCTTTTTCACACACCACCGAGCTGCTTGCTTGCTACACTCCTTGCTGTTCAATTGAATGCACCACACCCTCTCCCTCCTGCTGCTTGCTACTGCACCGCATGCACTTGCTCAGCAGCCTGCCACTTGCACAGCAGCTCACGAGAGCACACTCGGCGCACAGCACACCAGCAGCGGCAGCCTTTGACTCAACAGCCATGCATGCACATGTTCCTCTCTTTTTTCCTGGTTCCTGCTGGCTACATGCCCAATTTAATGCCGCTCTGCCCGCCCAAAATAATGCCGCTGACACTGCACGCTGCTCCTGCTACTTGCTGCATCACGTAGCACGCTTTGCTACTGCTGGGCCATGCATTCACACGAGCAACTTTGCATGCACACCATGTTGCTCCTCCACAGCAATGGCGCATCACCTCCTCTGCTCCTCAGCCATGCTGCAAAAACTAGAACAACCACCATGCTCACGACTCACCATGCTTCTTGTGATCATCTCCACAGGCACCCTCGTCGCAGCTTCCGTCACGCGTGCTCGCCCACACGCAACATTGCCGCAACACCTGCGCCTCCCACGCCGCCATCTCTCTGATAAAAACGTCCATGTCTTGCCACAGGCCCTATAGAGCACACTCCACCCGCGCGTTCAGGCCCTGCCGTGACAATGACGCCCTCGCACACCTCCTGTGCACAGGACATGCTGCACCATGGCTGCGCATCACTGACACCCTCCGCCCGCCGTGTCGTGATGCAGCCCCTATGCAACATTCGGTAGCACCACCACCACCGTGGTGCTCCCGCGCTCGGATCGACTCGGCTCCAGCCACGTCTGGCCCTGCCGGTCTGGACCGCGAGCCAAGGCCGATGCTCCCCGCGCCGTCTTCATAGGCCACTGTGTCGGTCCGACCGCCATGTCCGGCCGATCCTCACCGACTTGCAGCCCATCGGACGGTCTAGGCCTTTTGCCTAGAGTGTTTGACACCACTGACCGGAGCACCGGTCGCTGCCATACTCCATCTTTGTACCGCCCTGAGCAGCATCGCAGCACCCGTCGAGCATGATTCTCGAGTCTCCACATCTTCCCTCGCCTCCTAAGATCCTCAAAACAACCAATAGTTCTGATACCAATTGTTGTGCTATCGGCGCCTAACGTGGAAGCGATTGCTTGGATCTACCTAGGCGAGATGCTCATGAGAGATTGCGCACACCACACAAGAGACTTGATATTTGGTAATGAGGTCTGGCCGAAGCCTACGTCCCCGGCGCATGCTTACGGGCACTCCTCCCCGAAACCGTGACACCGTCCGCTCGAGGCGCCGGCCAAAATCGCCAGCACCCCCTGCGAGCTTGTCACCTTTGTGTTGCTACTCTCAAGTGGTGGGTTACAAGTGCGGCCCTCTCCTCCTTTTATAGAGGGGCCGGGTTACAAGAGCCAACACCAAGCTCACCTAACCCTATACTGCTAATTACAACACAAATCCACTATAACCTCCATTAATACAAATGAATCTTTGACACATTTCTAACAAAGACTTCGTAAAGTTGCGAATGGGCCTGTGGTACAGTGGTAGGGTTGTCTAGTGGGATGCTACCGAACCCTAGTGATCGCACCTTTTTCTGGGAATTTTTCTAGAAATTTTAAGGTACACGCATGCGTGCGCGTTTGGTGGTACTGCGCGTTTCTCAAGCACTGGAGGTGACGTGCCTCCCAATCTCTTCTTTGCGTGTGTATGGACGCACATGCTTGTGTATGCGTGTGGTGTGAGTGTGGAGTGTGTGGATTGTGTGCGTTCAAGTTGTACCCGATAAATTTTTTTTATAAAGTTGTTAGATTTATAATTGTCAAAAATAATTTAGTTTCTTGCTTTACCATCCCTTAGAGTGAGCTGCACTTGTTGTATATTAAAATAAAAAGGCATCTGCTCCAATATAAACCTTATCTGTGAGGGCCGCTTCTGGAGTTTATTTTAATTTTTATAATGATAATATATACTGCAAAACAAGAAATTGCGTAGAAAGGTTTGCAATGGGCCTGGCCCATGAATGAGTATGAATACTCCGAGGTACAAATAGGTCACAAGATACGTGATGCATACATGGAAGTTTACAAATACAAAAGAAAGATTATGCAGCTCACTCAACCTTTTTTGAAGCCAACCGTTTATGTGACAGATGATTACTCTCCCAGCGCAAAGGCAGCGGCATCGAAGGTGTCGGAGAGGGCAGTGCCGGTCTTGAAGGTAACCTTCTCTGGCGATGCTTCGGGGACGTACACCTCGACGACGCTGAGCCAGAGCATCAACTCCTTTGTCTTTACACCGGTAATCTTCCTCAGCTTGCCCTTCTCAGCGAATGCCGTCACCTCGGCGGCGTACGACACGGTCTGCTTGATCTTCTTGAAGGTGTGCTCCACCTTCTTCTTTCCTTGCACCAGCCACATGAGCCCTGTCTCGCGGTTGTAACCGAACTCCTGGATGTCCTCGAGAGGCAGGAAGCCTTTGGGGAGGCCAAGCTCCTCCAGCAGCTCGATTGACTTCTTCCTGCAGATGGCGTCTCCTCCGGTGACGACCTCAGCGCCGGCACGGTGGCTCTCGATAGCCTGGGATGCCATGGTCGTTCACTAGATATCTGTCCTGTTGTGCAGAAATGTGTGAGCAAGAGTCGGTCGTAGTAGCTGATGCTGCTTTAGGGGGCGAGGGAATGTTTATGTGATGGGAGAAGGAGCTGCAACACATCTATATAGGCATGCAGCTTCTACAGAGAAGCGATGCAGGGCGGACAGTCTTATTTGACTTCGTTGGCAGAGCGCTTCAAATCTGCAAAGTCAACGTTGCCACCCCTAAATTTCTTTTGTGACAAACAAAGCCAACATTGCCGCTCCTGAATTTTGGATTTTTGCTATGCCCTGTTTCTCTTCTCATTTAAGAAAATCTAGCATGAAAAGGAAGAAGAAAAAAATCAGTTCAAACGAAGTATAGTTTAAGAAAGTTCTGAGAACCCTTCAAAACTACAAGTACACACGATCACACAATTCTAAGCTTGGCGCGCCGAACTACAAGTTTGACCATTTCTCTTCATATCCATCCACATGCCTGAATTACTGGAGCCTAGTAGCTAACAAAATAGAAGAATTCAGTAGAGAGGTCAAACAATGCATACTCTTACTCGACTGAATCACATTCTCCCAAATGGCTAGACTAATTACGAAACTAATTGCATAGTTTGCGACTAATTTACGAGACGAATCTTTTAAGCCTAATTAGTTCATGATTTAACAATGTGGTGCTACAGGAAACATGTGCTAATGATGGATTAATTAGGCTTAAAAAATTCGTCTCGTGAAGTACTGACGGATTATGTAATTTGTTTTTTTATTAGTATCTGAACACCCCATACAACATCCTTCCGACACACCTGCTAAATTTTAATCACTGGATCCAAACACCACGTAGCGGAACAGGGTTTTTTTTTTTTTTTGGTCAGATTCAACTTTTCAGAATTTTTTACCAACCAAATACCACCAGTCAGATCACCTCTTATATGTACTGGTCATGGCTCGTACGTCACCCGGCGCCGCTACCTGCACCCGAAGCACAGCTGGGCACCTGACGCCGCCGCTGGACGGACGACGTACCCGGGCAGAGACGGCTCCGGCAGCTCCTCCGCCACCCCGTCGTCGCCACTGCTAAGCATGGCGATGACCTGCCCCATGGTTGGCCGCCTTGCTCGGTCCGACTGCACGCAGAGGAGCGCGACGTGCACGCACCGCAGCGCTTGCCGTGCCGCGTGCTCCTGCCCTTCCACGCCCAAGTCGCCGTCCACCACGTCGCTCCCTCTCTTCTCAGTCCAGTGCTGCCACACCTGCACGCGCATGACCACGGTTACTAACCTTAGCTTATGAACCAAGGCCTTGTTTAGATTGCAAGTTTTTTCACTCTCTCTCTATTACATTAAATCTTTGACACGTGCATGGAATATTAAATATAGATAAAAAAAATAACTAATTACACAGTTTGATTATAAATTACGAGACGAATCTTTTGAACCTAGTTAGGCTATGATTAGACAATAACGAAAGTGCTACAGTATCAAATACTGATTTCTAACCTCAATCTAAACAGGCCCAAGCTAGGAAGGGATATGCCAACAAGGTTTCTGCACTACTCACGTATTCGACGAGGCCTTCAGAGTCTTGGCCTTCGAACGTGTAGATCTTGTGGCCGGTGATGATCTCCAGCACCAACACCCCGTAGCTGTACACGTCAGACTTGATCGAAAGTAGGAACTTTCGGCCGGAGGTGCACTCTGGTGCCATGTACCCGCTTCACAACAAACAATACACAACACACAGAGAGCGAGGTACGTCAAAGAAGTGCTTTGAGTCTTTAAACAATCTTAGATAAATGTACCAACTACAAATTATAGATCATGTGTCGAAAAAGCTACAACTTTGGTCTAGACCACATTAACATCAAAGGTCGTTTGAATATTAAAAAAATTCAAAATTAGAAAAATTTAAAACAAATATTTGGACCTCTAAATGATTTCAGATAAAAAAGTTATCAACTAAAGTTGTATATATTACAAGGAACTTCAACTTTGGTATACACTGTATATGTCAACATCCAAGATCCTTTGAAAATTTTAAAACTTGAACTTTAAAATCTGATAACTTAAAATGAATATTTGATCCTCTAAAATATATGAAACAAAAGTTATCAACTACATAGTCGTAGATCGTCTCGGGCACTATAACTTTAACATAATAAAGTTTATATTCATATGACTTTCTATAAAAAGGTTATGTTTTTTTATATAAGAAAAAGCGTCTAGACAAAATTATAGGTGGGCTCCACTGCCACATCAGCAAAATCACCCAATAAATCAGTTTGAAATTGTTAGCTAAAGGCAGGGGTCTTTTGTCTGATTCTAAAAGTTAAGGTGTGTATGTTTACCGGTATTGAAATTCGAGGGGATCATTCAAATCTAAAAGCACTTTGAAAGCAAAAAAATTATAGATGCATAATGTCACTGAAAGTGATGCGACAAAAGCTTACATAGCTTAACCTTATGTTTCAACTAAATTCTTATTCAAGACCTTATAGAGGTGCAATGAAAAATACGACAACGCATGGCCTAATATTACTAATAATGTGAGGCCCTCAATGCAACCTCCACTTTAGGCCGCTCTTAATGGAGTTCAATTTTCATTTAAAAGGGTGCTACATAAACAATTTTGATAACATGGCAAAATATTAAGGAAGAGGGATGGTGTAAATATCATCTAGATGAAACCCCATGGAAATTGTTTTCAAGTCTTAATTTTTCATAGAACTAAATGCAATGAGTGCATATGAAACACAAAGAATGAAACTATGCAGTGTAGAAGGTTATTTCAACCATCATTCAACTGTTATTAGCTGATTGGCCTTGTCCTCGAAAAGCATGAACAAAGCATGTAGTTGTGAGCGCTGATTGCTCATGTACTTACAATGTTCCAGCGACCTTCTCAGTGCTCTCATGAGTTTTCTGTTTATCGTACATCCTCATGAGATCAAAATCGGCGATCTTTGGGTTGAAGTTATCGTCGAGAAGTACATTGTGTGGCTTGAGGTCCCGGTGAATGATCCCCTTGTCGTGAAGAAACCAGAGGCCGCGAGCAACCCCTAAGATGATGTTGAACCATGTAACCCACTCTAGCTTCTCACACTGAAAAGATGCTGCAATTGCAAAAACCTAACTTTTTGGTGTTTTATCCTTGGTAATACTTTTACTACCATGTTAATAAATATAATCAATAGTGGCTAGTGTGGAGAAATGAACTTACCTTTGTACCAAAATTTATCCAGGCTGTTATTAGGTACGTACTCGTAGATGAGGAACCTCCCTTCCTCTTGGAAGCAGTACCCTAAAAACCTCACAAGGTTCTTGTGGCGCAAGTTAACCAGAATGGAGATCTCCCTCTCAAGTTCTTGTATAGTCCTCTTGGAATCCCTCAGTTTTTTCACTGCTACTTCCATCCCATTCTCAAGTGTGCCCTGCACTTCTCCCTTCCATTATTTATGTTCCAAGCTAAGCTTTTTCTAATAACAAACTAGAATTAATGATAAACATGTTCTTGGTAACTGTTACCTTGTATACGGTTCCAAATCCACCGCTCCCTAGTTTGTTTCTACTTGAGAAGTGACATGTAGCAGCCTCAAGAACCTGGTAGCTGTAGAGTTGGCAGCTCGTTCGTCCTCCGTCGTCCTCTTCTTCTTCTTCCCTGCTCAAATGCTTATTATTTCCTTGCCCATGCATAGTCTCCTCTGGCATGCCATCTGCTTGACGATTCAAAACAAGGGGTTCTACAAATAAATAATTGTGAAACGTCAACATATAGAAGAGAAAGCAGAAAGTACAGAGAAGAAGAAATCCTGAAAAAAAAAAAGAGAACGCTGCCGGCTTGAATCACCTATGACATGTCCTCTCTGAGCCGGTCGCCGACGTCGGTACCATATGGTGAGTGCGAGGATGATGGCGGCAATCGGCAACCCAGTTGCAAGAGAAACGATCATCCCTTTGGATCTATGCGACGTTTCCTTCCCTTTGTTTTCTGATGGTCCGGTGGCCGTTTGATCTAACGAACAAACCAAAAGAGGAAGCTATTGAATAGTAACACAGACAGTTGGCAGTACTGTACTGAAACATGGATGAACAGTAGCACGCTGAAGTAGAAACCATGAATTTTTACCACTCGGTGCGGCAGCAGCGGGCAGTGGGGTACGACCGCCAGGGGGCACCGGCACAGCATGTGTAGCAGCCGGACGGGTTGCCCCAAGTGCGTCTGCTGGTGGAGGCGGTGGGGTATGACCGCCAGGGGGCGCTGGGGTGGGATGTCCAGCCCGACGACCATTAAGTGAAGCATTAATGCTGAAGTACCAGGGTGCTGGTGCTGGTGGAGGCGGTGGGTTACGACCGCCCGGGGGCGCCGGCACAGCAGGTGTAGCAGCCGCACGGGTTGCCCCAGGTGCGTCGAACCCGCTCCCGCTCGTCGCCTCCGCGAGCAATCGCCGGGCCAAGGACTCGGTGTTGTAGAAGGGGTAGCTCTCGTACCTGGCCATGCAGCTGAGCCGCAGCACCTGCATCCCAGCGCTGCCGTTGTACTCCCTGTCCACCACCTGGAGGGCGCCTCGGAGGCAGCGGCGGCAGTCGGCGCACGAGATCCCGGCGGCGCACCGCGTGAGCCCGTAGACCAGACCGCCTGCCGCAGTCCCAGTGGCGGCACCGACGCTCCGGCACATGTGACTGCTCGTCGTGCTTTCCCCCGCGGCGGCGAGGAGGCGCCTCACTACCGTTTTGGCGGCCACATGCGGCGACAGAGCGCGGCTCGCGTTGAACACGGTCGCCGTGTACTCGTCCTCGCGGAATCGACCCGGGTCGTCGTGGTCCGAGTAGCGGAGGAAGCAGGCGTCGTGCCAGACCGCCGACGCCGCGCACGCCGTCCCGGAGATGAGCTTAGAGGACGCAGCAAGGCAGGCGGTGCAGTCGGGGACCGAGACGTCGGGGCGGCACTGCGCGACCCCGTACATGGTCCGGTTCTTGGTGACGACGTACGAGGACATGTTGTGGGACATGTGCGCGACGCCGTAGGCGCCGGTGCACACGGCGGCGAGAAACCTGGTGACCTCGCTGCTCGTGACGGCCGGGGAGTGGCCGGAGCAGAAGGTCGCGGTGGGCTGAAGACCGGCGGCGTTGGACGACGGCGACGACGAACGCGTCGGGGTCGCCTGTAGCGCCGCCAGGAAGAACAACGCCAGCATGTTTGCTGCAAGTTGGAAGGAACTGGCCGTGCACAGCACGGTGGCTGACGGTGACGCCATCCCTTCACGGTGGCTGTAGGGAAAAATCATTTGGCATTTCATCACAGCAGTCAGCACAGCAGGTACAAACTTTCCACGTACAGTTAACCGTGACAAGAAAGTATACCGGCCCGCGGCCGGGCGAGGGGACTTGGAGTGACGACGAGGTAGGAGTCCAGGTCAGGGCGCTGGATGATGGATGACCATGTTGTTGTGCTCACGTAGTACGTTTGTGAAAAAAATGACGACAATGCAGTCATACTGGCACGTTTTGACAGCGCAATGTGTGGTCCTCCGTGATCAGTACCCCTCAGCCCCGCGAAGGCCCCACGAAGGCACCGTAAGATTTTTATGATACACTACGTGCCCGTGCGTTGCTACGGACTTATCACCCTTAGTATTGGAGTATGACTAATCTTTCAACTTATGAAATAATTTCAAATACTGCCTTTTATGGATCTATCTTGGTGAATCTAAGTATTTCAATAAGTATAAGAAACATCACCAAGATAAACTTATGTAATATCTCTATTGCTTTACTTATAGTCAACAAGACAAAAAAAAATAATTAACTTTGTACCTAAACTTTTGTAAGACACATGGATCATCGGATAAGATAATAATACTGTGAAACTAAATACCGATGTTAAAGTGACATTTAATCCAAAAAGCAAAGTTCGTAAAATTAACATAGTCACGGAGAGCATGGTGTTGCAGACTCACCAACTTTACTATGTAGACCTTTCGTACTTAAGAAGTCACGTATCTTGAAATTGCAACAGAGCTATTCACCCCTTTCTAGAACACAAGTAGTTACAGGAGGCAAGCAAAATTTAACATGTTTTGTTTCTATTATAAAAAAGCCATTTTGAGCATGATGTTTGTAATATTCATTTTTTAGCTAACCATCACAGTTAATTGCCCCGTGCAAAATACCAAATTCTTTCATAGTTAGACCTAACCATAGTCTTATGCTCGTGATTCTTCCTAATCAAAATGTGCTGCAAAATACCAAATGTTTTAAACTTGTATTTGCCATCATTTATTTCTAATTTCTCGCTATTCAAAGATAGGTCAAAACTTGCTAAATGTCGGAGCAAAATAAAATAAATTACCACCATTTAATATGGCGGAGCATGGTTGTCTTCTTGGATTATACATTAATAAAGTCGTCATTTCGGCAACATCTCAAAGCGCATTTACTAAAAACGGTACATTGGGACACGAAAATATAGCAAAGTAACTGCTTTTTTTTTCTGAAGAAAAGCTACGTGGCGTTTACTTTACACCAAGAACCGGATATTGAACTGGCGATTCTTGAATGGGCAAAATGCGTTTCTCTACACTCTACGTTCGTTCTTGGCATGCACATTTTTATTGAAGCAAATTCTACGGACAAAGTGCTAGGAACACCACCATAATCTCCAAAACGCTGAAGGGCCGAAGGCGCAAGCAAATGCAAAAATGCCTCGAAGGAATATAGGGCCGCAGAAAGATAGCAAGATATATCAGGAACGCACATAATATTTATGACTCACCATCTGTAGGGATCCGGCACAAGGACGCCATGGTAGTCGTCGACAATGTCTTCGTCCCGGCGAGCCTGAGGGTACTTGAGCGGCTGCAATGACGGCTCATCCGTGGCGGCCAGGGAGCCCATAGCGACAGAACACAGAAGAAGCAACGCTCACGTACGTGTCAAGCGCGGAGCGAGCCGCGGAAGCACACAAACAAAGGCGGCGCGGGATAGATGACCACACAGGGCACACCAACAACACGATACGTTCTCCTGGTTTTATAGAGCGCCCAGGATGTCATCATGCCGTGGGCATTCCTTCCCATTCTTTTTTTTTGCCCAGGATGTCATCATGCTGCGGCATCCTTCCCATTCTTTTTTTTTTTAAAAAAAAACCAAGGTTAGAGTCCGTGCATCAACAGGAATAAAATAATGCCCGACCAGCTTAGTGCAGGTTAAGTGACAGCCAAAGTCAAGGTCTTGAACATACTCTCCCTCCATAGAAAGCTTCTTCTAATTTTGTCGATGGCTTTGTTCATTTCGCTAAAAAGTCATGCTAAAAAGTACTATTCGCTGAGTTGTTGTTTGAGAAAAATACTGTACTATGACTGATAAGCCAGACTGATAGCCTTCAGGGTGGTAGGTCCATAGATCAATGTGGAAGTGAGCTACAAAAGACATTATTTTATTCAGAATTTCTACATACACACAATGTTGATCCTTCTTGCTTTCTTGGCCCTGTTTGGTTGAGCTAAAATCACATATAGCATGGACTTGGGAATAATCTGTAAATGTAATGTACACATGCTCAAGTAAATACAAATATTCATACGTATTATGATTTCAAATAATATTTCTCAAGCCCCCCGTCATAGATAATAAACTGTATACAATCCGTAGATAAATTGTGTACCATCCAGCTACTCACAGAACTTATTCTCACTACGCCAGATTTGCACATCACTGTCGGCATCATCACTGTCGGATTTATGAGAACCGGCAGTGATGTGCCTTTACTGCCGGTTATGAGCTTCAAAATGAAAAAATGATTGGTGTTGGGCTAAAACCGGCAATGAAGGACCACATCACTGCCGGTTTATGGCTTCAACCAACAGTGTTTTGACGAGCACTCATCACTGCCGGTTTAAGCCAAGAGCCGACAGTGATTTGACTCTATCACTGTCGGTTCTAGCCAAGAACCGACGGTGATAAGCCTACAACACAAAAAGGCTGCAGCCGTCCTCTCCTTCCTCCTCTCTTCCAACCCGAGAACAGAGGCGCGCGTTTGGACCCTTCCCTCCATTGTTGCGGCTGCTCTTCACCATGAAGCTAGTGCTTGGATTTTGAAGAATGGCTTAATCTTTTTGCTTTAAGGTTAGTAACAAACATCCACTCCTTTGATTTTGTTGCTTAATTAGCTTCGTTTTGATGGCTACATTGCTTGATTCTCATTCTAGTTCTTTCTCCATTCTAGAGAGCACTTTTCCAATTGGACATTTGTGCAAGGCTCAAATTGTGGTGAATCCATCATCCAAAAGGTTGGTGTCTATGAACACATTTAAATTCCTAGCTAATTATTCCATGGTGGTCAAGATCATCATTGTTAGTATGTGATGCTATAATTAGTTCTTAGAAGTAGAGTAGAATAGTTATTCTTTAATATTGTGCAATAATTGTTTTTTACTACGATTTTCAATTTACAGGGCCGGGGCTACCAATTTCAATCTTTTAATAATTAGTGTACAATAATGTTTTCCAAAAATGGTACTTTCGAGCTACAATTGTTGTTTATGAAGCTCGATTTCTTATTAATTCTTTGTAAGTACTGTCTTAGTATTTTTTTGTGCAGAGATGGATCGAGAGTGGATGCATCTGTCCCGAACGGACAAGTGGTACATGCATAGCGTCAGCCAGTTTATCATCGATGCCAAATCCCATGTTGGGAATGGGAACTCTGTCTTCTGCCCATGCAAAGATTGCAAGAATCATAGGAACTTTCGTCAAATTGAGTCTATACGATCGCACTTGATTACTAGGGGGTTCATGCCAAACTATACGATATGGACTATGCATGGTGAGGTTGGTGTGAATGTTCTACATGAAAACGATGGCGATGTGGACATGCCTAATGTAGCCATACACGATGCTGATGAGGAACCCGGTGTCAACACGGAACCTATGGCCACAGTTAATAATGTGTTTAGGAACACGCTAGCTGACGACACCGATGATAACGATGGCATTTCTCAACTGCTACGTAATGTAGAGACCGGATGTCTTAGTGAAAGACAGCTGAGAAAGCTAGAGAAAATGAGACAAGATGACAAAACACCATTGTATAGGAATTGTCCAATGAGCAAACTGGAAGCCGACATCATGCTGTTAGAGTTCAAATCGACAAACGGATTGAGCGATAAAGGCTTCGATCAGTTGTTAGGTATAATAAGGAAAATGCTCCCAGAAAAAAATGAGTTGCCAGAAAAGACATACTTGGCCAAGCAAATGATCTGCCCCATCGGCCTCGAGGTTGAAAAAATCCACGCGTGTTCCAATGATTGCATATTGTACCGTGGAGAAAAATACAAAGACTTGGACAAGTGCCCCAAGTGTGAAGCTCCACGGTACAAGGAAGGGCCGTCAGATGAGGGTACCAAGACCAGAGGAGGTCCCGTAAAGGTTGTTTGGTATTTCCCTATAGCTCCCCGGGTGCATAGGTTGTTTGCATGTGCAAAGTCAGCCAAGCTGTTGCGCTGGCATGGCAAAGAGCATAAGAAAGATACAATAATGAGGCACCCCGCCGATGGGCATGACTGGAGGACTGTCAATACTATGTTCTATAAGGACATCGGTGGAGAGGTAAGGCACCTTTGGTTTGCTTTGAGCATAGATGGGATGAATCCTTTCGACCAAGTTAGAAGCGATCATAGCACCTGGCCAGTGACGCTCTGTATAGACAACCTTCCACCTTAGGTCTGTATGAAGCAGTTGTACATCCAGATGCCACTACTGATCCAAGGGCCAAGATAGCCTGGGAATGACATCGATGTGTTTCTAGAACCAGTGATCGATGAACTAGTGGAGATGTTTGAAAAGGGTGTGCCGGATGTTTGGGACGAGTACAAAAAGGAACATGTCACGATCTAGGGAGTACTTATCGCTACAATCACTGACCTACCAGGTCAAGGTTCGTTGTCTAGAGAGAAGACAAAAGGCTATACTGGATGTGTCGAGTGCTTTGACAACATCGATGCAGTAAATCTGCCAAATAACACAAAGATAGTATATATGGGACACCATAGGTTCGTACCTAAGGATCACCCTTACCACAGGAACATAAAATATTTCAACGGTACTATTGAGAAACGCTTAGCTCCAAAATATCGAGACGGGCCTGCGATACTTCGAGAACTCAACAAACTGGAGGTTGTCCTTGGGAAGGGGGACAATGCAGTAGCAGCGCCTGATGGGAGCGTTTGGAAGAAAAAATCGGTTTTTTTGAAACTACCTTACTGGCCATTTCTGAGTGTACGCCACTGTCTTGATCCCATGCACATCACTAAAAACGTGTGCGCTAACACTCTTAACACCTTGATGGACACCAGGGGGACATCGACGGATTCACTAGCCACACGCCTGGACATGCAACACTTGAGAATCAGGAAGGAGCTGCATCCCGTGGAGCTAGAGAATGGCCAATTCGAACTTTCGGTTGCGTCATGGACATTGAAGAAGGAAGAAAAGCGTGCGCTTATTTCTTTCTTCAATGAACTCAAAGTCCCGACAGGCTACTGTGCGAACCCAAAGAGGCTAGTGAACATGAGAGAACTCAAGTTCAACTATGGCCCTATGAAGGCCCATGACTGTCAGGTCATTATGACTCAGCTACTCCCTGTTGCCCTGCGTGGTATCCTCCCCCCAAAGGTCCATGCCCCAATCATAAAGCTTTGCTCGTTCTTCAACGCAATCTCAAAAAAGGTCATTGATGTGTCCACGCTAGAGCAGCTGCAGCGGGACATAGCCAAAACTCTCGTTAGGCTTGAGATGCATTTCCCGCCGACTTACTTTGATATCTCATTGCATCTACTTATTCATCTTGTTGACCAAATTAGAGCCCTTGGTACAATGTACTTGCATCAGATGTTTCCTTTCGAAAGATTGATGAAAGTTTTTAGGAGGTATGTTAGGAACAGATTTAGGCTAGAAGGGGGCATGGTTGAAGGATGGTCAATGGAGGAGGCTATTGAGTTTTGCACATATTATCTAGACATCAAAAGGGTCGGAGTCCCAGAATCTCATCATGAGGGAAGACTACGTGGCAAAGGAACAATTGGGGAGAAATCTGTTACAGTAGACGACCCTGTTTCTTTCAGACAGGCACAGTTCACTGTTCTCTAGCAAGCCAAGGGTGTGATGTCATACATTGATGAGCACAGGTAATCGCTGCAAACTCTAAATCCGAGCAGGTCACAGGCTTGGCTAGATAAAAAACATAAGGAGGAATTTGTCAGCTGGTTGCGACGTTGCTTGCTTGGAATAAAGTTGGGTAATCAACTGGATGCCTTAGCCAAGGGACCTTCAAGTACATATCTTAAGTACTAAGGGTATGAGATCAATGGATTCACATTTTACACAAAAAAGCAAGATGGAAAGAGCACATACCAAAATTGTGGTGTTCGTTTTGATGCTCACGACGAGAACAGCAATGTGCAGGCGACATACTATGGTTTCATAGAGGAGATATGGGATCTGGCCTACGGTCCGTTGAAGGCAGCTCTTTTTTGCTGCCAGTGGATCTGGCTCGAGGAAATCAACACTGACAGCGAAGGGTTCACTACCGTTGATCTCACTAAGACCGCATACAGAGACGATCCCTTCGTCCTTGCAAGAGATGCTATGCAAGTCTTCTATGCAAGGGACAACAAGACAAAAGGAAGGCTAAAAGTAGTCCTAGAAGGGAAAAGGAAGATTGTCGGTGTCGATGGAGTGATGGACGAAGAAGACTACAGGGGCTATCAGGAAATGCCTCCATTCGGGGCGAACGCACCCCTACCTATCCTTCAAGAGGGTGACGAACCTGCTTATGTACGAACTGATCACAATGAGGCCCTCATTGTTGATGCACCTGAAGATAGTTAGATTATTTT